CAAAATAACAGATCTTGTAACCTCTCGAAAGACGAAAATCTAACAACCCGCATAGCACAAAGACCCCCCTCGCAAACGGTCCAAGATCACAAAGAGTGTTGTCGATCCCCCGATCGCCCTCGGATTCTTCTTGAAGAAGTTTGTCGATCACTGCAAGTATGAATAACGAACTGATAAACCTGAAGGTACCGCCCGATACGTCCCATCAAACTCTGCATGGATACAAGCGACGTCATTCTACGTTCGTATCTGACACTTAACATTTAATGCGCAATCACATTTTTTTCATGTATAAATACAGACCCCATCTTGGTCAAAGACACAAAAACTAACCCTTATCTATCGATCAACTGACCATCACTACACCCTCATAGTATTCTCATAAACTAATCTTCCGAGATCATACACAAATACTTTCACCATACTCGGTTGTATAATCATTTATAAAAAAAAAAATCTGGAAAAAAAAATAAAAAATTCCTTGTCGATCGCCACAACTGACCGGAAAATATCGGTGTCTCACTCTTTTTAGTATGCTATTGTCTCGATTTGCCAATATTTTACACCATTAAAATATATCATAATTATTATGTAGTCCCCAATTAAGCTGCATTAAAACATGTTTTTTTGTAATTTTTGGCCGCACACCGTTAATAATATACATCCCCCTATATATTAATACAGAATGCGCTGAGCCTACGTGACTGCTTCTGGTGCTTCGGAATCCTATGTGGCAAAATTACATGCTTCGTTATTAGGCTTGGGTAAATTTTAATTTAATTCCAAACCAAAAATAATTAGGTTCGGATTACCATAAATATGTTGATTATTTATGGTCATGTTACATGTATTAATTGTATTTTAATATCATTCCTTATTATAACTATTGAATTGTATATATATTTTAAAAGTTAATAACTTTTGTATTTTTTATCAGTTTTGCATATGTAATATATCAAATTAATCTTCTTTTCATAAGCTTCGATTTAACATCCATATTGTATGTATAAAAAAAATAATTTATATTTATCTGTATAACAATAATAAAATCATTTTTAATATTAATTAGAAAAATAAAATTATTTATCAACTAATATATTTATATTTCAAGTAGTTATATGATATAAGTTATAATAACTAATATAATATAACACATGTAAGTCATAAGCAACACATATCATTCTAAAATATATAGTAATATATTTTTTTTTGTAAAAAAGTAAACTAAATTTAATATAATTTTCTCATTAATTTTAAAATTTAAGAATAATTTTTTAACAAGCACCCGTGTAATACACGAGTATTGTACTAGTATGTATATATATATAATTATATATCATTTGTGTTAAATGTAAAAATATATATAAGTGAACCTAATTTGATTGATTTATCAGTGATTTAATCAGCAAATCATTGAATTAATAGTTTCACCGGTTCAATAATCGGTTCTAGTTTAAAAACTTCGATATAAGAAGAAAGAATTGCTCTCACAGCTGAAAGTCCAAAATTTGTAGCCGCAAATCCAGCTAGTGCAACTGCTTAGTTGACCACAGCAACCACGATTAAAAGCAATTTGGTGAAAAATTTAACACAAAAAGCAAAAGCAAGTGAAGATAAATATGTATTTACATCACGCCGCCAATTGATTACT